CAAAGTGGGACTAAGTTCTCCACCTTGGAAGGTGCCAAGTAGCATATCTTTAACTTCACTTTTGTAACCTTGAAATAGTGCAGCAGCTCTTCTGTTAGTGAGGTAACCACTTATCTAGTGTAACATCCGACCTCCTATATAGATTTTGTCTAGTTCGTACAATATAAGTTGCCTATTGGCAATATCAAATGCAGCTTTTAGAACAAGAAATTTGGTGTATCTTGTATCTTTCGTCACCATGTACAGTTAAAAGTGTAGTGATGCAATTATGTACACCTTTACCATGAGTGAAGACATTTATGTTAGGGGACATGTGTTCTCTGATTCTATGTAAGAGTCTGCTAAGAACCATCCTCCTAAAGGGTTTACACAGGCAGCTGGTTAGTGGTATGGGACGAAAAACATCAGGCTGTATCGTCATCACTGACTTATGTCCATAAAGGCATCAGTAAAACTGTTACCAGTATCACTGTTTTACTCTGTGTGGACAGGAGTTCCTGGTAGATCTTGAGTTGCCATTGCTGCTGCTGCTCTATGTTGGTGGTGTTCTGTTTCTGTAAAGCAACGCAGAGGCTCTTTATCGTATTAGTTTGAGCTGCAAATTGAGCTTTGCGTTTTTAATTTATTTTTACAAATCATTGATTTCTTCATTATGTGCGTGTTCACGGGGTGTGTTGGCAGCTACCTATTGTGTCAGTACGTCTGTGTTGCGTTGACTGCTGGTGATGATCCAGGACCTTTAGTGGGGAGGATGGGCCACGGGTTGGCCATTGGGGATTTCTTTACAGCAGGAGTGATTCTTGAGACCTGCCTGGGTGGCGGGTCTGGACACCGAGAGGGGTGTAGGAGCTCTAGGACAGCCAGGGTGCCATACAGGAACTCCATTTGTTTTGCAGTTTATACACCTCTGTTGAATGGTTCCCCCTTGATCAACTGTATCTCTGCAAGTCTGTATTGCATATTGTCGTGAGCAGAGACCACACCACGACTTGGTAGGGGGAGGGGCATACTCGGGCCACATGGCCTCAGTGTTGACACTTGTAACACCTTCGGGTAGGAGGCTGATAGTTACCTTCAGAGTCCGATAAGCCATGGACGTGCAGGGTCTTGGGTGGGCCCCCGAGCCAATCCAGTCTGCAATGGTTCTCCTCGCCACTAACATAAAGGGAATAACCATGAAACATCTGTTTATAAGGGGTGAAAGGTAGGGGAAGGAGTGTGGGAGTCTACCTGATGACTTTAGCAAAGCCTTGCCCACCCGCGCGTGGGTTGACTTCCTCTTCTATAGGCCTTGCCAGGCTCTGCGCTGTGATAGTGAGCCATGGACATTAGATTACGCGAGGAGCCGGCTGAGGTGACGTTGTCAGGCATTGTCCCTCAGCCTTTGAAGCCAATTCCACCTGTTACTGCCAACACCCTGGTGTGCGCGATTCCAAATTCCCTAGGATCAATGGCACACCCCCTCCTCCCTCCCTGTGGCACAAAGGCACGTCACGAGGTGTGTGCGAGTCGTACTGGCAGCGCATACAGCTGTAACACCAGTTAGTTACAAATTAATCTCCTTCGTAATTATTGTTGAAAACTCGTCTCATTCATCAGAGCTCCGGTGCCACATGTAGGAAATCGCCACAAAAGTGTGGAACATTACTCCTACAGGCAACTGTACATGATGATTGGAAGAAAGAAGGAAGGCAAGCCAGGTGACCCGGCCTAAGTGAGGTAGAAAGTAAAAGCCGACACTCGTAACACGGAGGAGGAAGGATCCAGGCATCCCTGAAGCCACGACTATGCAACTGGCGACTCGCGGGCCAAATCCGGCCCTTGGGTCACTTTTAGTTGACCCTGTGTTTGATTCTGAGCAATCATAAAGAAAATATTAACCCTCTCGTTGTCCCAGTTCATACAAGTCGAACTTGTTGACATCCAATCACCACATGTTGACATCCAATCATCAGATGACCTGCGACAGTCAATGCAGTCTGTGGAATGTGTAAAATTCTGGACTAAGGAAATCAGCCAGGAGACTTCCACTGTTTATCCTAATATTTGGCTCAACATATACGTGTGGGTGTTCATCCTCGCATATGAATGCCATCGAAACAAACAATCAGCATGGGGGAACACAAACAGTCAGCATGGGGGAACACAAACAGTCAGCATGGGGGAACACAAACAGTCAGCATGAGGGAACACAAACAGTCAGCATGGGGGAACACAAACAGTCAGCATGGGGGACAACAAACAGTCAGCATGGGGGAACACAAACAGTCAGCATGGGGGAACACAAACAGTCAGCATGAGGGAACACAAACAGTCAGCATGGGGGAACACAAACAGTCAGCATCTCCATCATTGTCTACGCATCGCTCTAACTACTTAAGAGTCAAACTTTGCTACTCTCCTAAGATCCAAGAAGTGTAATTTTTCCCATTAGAAGAGAAATATACCAAAGGCTTACAGATATGTAGCCTATTAGATGATAAACGGTACTTGTCACACATACATAATCAAAGACAGAAAAATATGAGAATAGATGTATTTCAGTGACTTGCTGAGTATGGCCTATCCACAATGTGTTAATTTCTGCATTTATTGTTGTCAATTGCATCGTTATGTATATTTAAATGTATAAATTCTGTTCAAAGATAATTTAAGCTGTTTATTGTTGCTTCTATGTTTGTGTAAGTGCTTAGATCAGAAATAGGAAGTCGATTTCAATTTCAAAACATGGCCCTCATTCTAAAGAAGTTGAATAGCCCTGTCTTAAGCCCTTCCAAAGCATGGTGGAAGCATTTCCCTGGCTGGCTACTGTGTATAGCCTACTACCGACCTCGTCATTGATATATGATTTCCAATTATCTCGAGTTCTCTTAATTTTCAACTGTCATTGGAGAATAAAAAAAAAAGACTTCAAAATTATTTACCTTGTAAAAATTACTCCGATCCACTTTGTTTAAAGAATCCAATGGCGTATTGAATTCGCGAACCACGATCTGTGTCCTAAGTGTCAGTGGTCAGCAAAATGTGCGATTCTGAGAACTCTTCCTCTTGGGGTGGCGGTTGATGATATAGAATGGTTATACGACCATGGTCGTTGACTTGCTACCCCATAATCGTATAACGCTAATTTTATTTTGCAGTGTTTGACAACAAAATTTCTTCTGTTTAAGAAAATGTTTAACAAATTGAGACATGCCTACAGCTCTCTTGACAGGTTGGACTTAGCAAGTAGTTATTCACATATCCAGACAAAGTATTTTTATACAACAAATCATCATTGTTTGTTTTATATAAACTTTAGCTGTAATACTCAAGGCCAAGTAGGCCAGCTGCAAGCTTACTTGCTGGTACAGTAATACACTGGCCTCGAACACCCACCCAGGGGTGTCAATACTTTGGATTGTGACTGTACACCTTCTAATCGACCATCTTCGTCTTATCGCAATATTTATTGATTCTTCGCAGGGCCAGATTCAGGAGTGGGCAAAGTGGGCAGCTGCCCAGGGGCCTCCACATATTATAATATTTCATTTATTTGTTTATTCATTTGGATTATTTTTATTTTCATTCTTTAAAATTTATGTTTATCTATTCCATAACGTAAAACTATGTTCAGCAAGAAGCGTGATAGAAATTAGGCTAGCTACTTCTTGAAATTCATGAATATCTGGTTTTCCTATATTTTTAATGAATGCTATTGTTTGTGTTGCTAATAATATATTTAGAATTCCACAAATATATATTGATTAAAAATTAACTACATGGAATAACGAAATTGAGATTAAAAAAAAACAAATAAAATATTTCTTTCATTATCACTTCCATTACGAATGCCAACAGGGCGCTGTGTTTGTTGACAGTCGGTCGGAGGGGGTTGGGTCGTGCAGCATCTGCACATCGGTTGTCATGTGTCTGTCGGTTAAAGAGGAGACTTGCGTCGCCCATGATTCGTGAACTTCCCACGAGTAGACATAAACATGTCTGGCAGATGTAAAATGAGAGAGAAAATTGTCATGTGTGCTTGTTAAGTGAAGTCGTCGCCGCTCAGTAATGAATGATCTTTTCAGTTGTCATTTCCAAAAACTTTGCAGCTGCCAGGTCACGTAAAGTGCCTGGTCTGTAAATAAAGGTAATGTTTATTTTCTATTTTGCAATTGATCAATGTTTGTGTTCAATATATCCATTATCCATGGTCGATGGTAGTTATTTTTATTAAAATTCTTGTTTTTTCTAACATGTTCATGCTTTTGTTATAATTTTATCAAATTCATTAAATTGTTTATTTGTTTTAGTATTGGATGCAAAACTTCAATTTTATTTATAGTTGAGTTAATACTTATTCTGAAGCTATCTGACCTTGGACTTAAAGAAGCCTATACATGCATTCTTGGACAGAACCATTATTTGAGTAAAGGTCTATCTGATTAATAATGCAAAGAATCATCTTTCTGTAATAACTAATAATATATTCTTTTCTGTGAAGTCTCTTGAAAATTTTTGACATGTGCGGTAGTAGCTATATCAGGGCTGGTCGACTTGAAACCACATGAATGACTCCAGTCATGTCTCACTTTTGTGTGTGTATGTGTTGGAACTTTGTACACTATCAATAAATATACAGTTAATTAAAAATTTCTCAATGTTCTAATTTCCTCAATATAACTGCATATGGCTTCAAATTTCTCCAAAGAAGTGTTCAAATTTCAAAATTTTCCCGGGGGGGGCTTACAGTGCCCCCCGGAACTCCCAGATGTTTAGGCTCGCTTCACTCGCCACCCCACCCTCTTGGGTAGTTATAATGAGGGGGGCCTCCACAAAGAGGCTGCCCATGGGCCTCCACAGGTCTAAATCCGGCACTGATTCTTCGTTGTCCAGCGCACTAGTATTTTAGCAATATCTCATTGTTATTACTTTTGGGCGCTTTGATAGATTTTGTTGTCCATGATGTGAAATCCTAACCTAACAACTGCTGTGGGTATTGAGGGGGAAGCGAAACAATATTAAAATAATAGTTGTGGCTTTATTAGCGTTCATGAATACACCTTAGTTATATTATGGAATGTTTTACCGTAATAACAAATACACATATACAACATACCTCTTACTTATAGAGCAATGAACACCCCATTATAAAATAAAATTTACTTATAAATGTAACCTCTCTCTCTAAAAAAAAATAATTCACAAATTCAGGAGTAATTTAAAGAAACACAGATCCTGTTTTATTAACAGTAGACTCATGAAACGACTACACAGTGTAAGATTATTGTGGCATAGTCGACGTATTGTACGATGATCCATTATACATTGCACACTATTCACAACCTGTAATTCTTACCCATTGATCATTGTACTGGCATATTAGTTTGAAAGTATATATATATATATATATATATATATATATATATATATATATATATATATATATATGTGTGTGTGTGTGTGTGTGTGTGTGTGTGTGTGTGTGTGGCAATTTGAATATCTATCGCTTTTTATTTAAAAAAATAATATTTACAACACAGAATAAGTTGCATATTGCGTAGTATAAAGAAGATTAATCCCACATTTGACTTCGTGTATAAGACTTTTCTATTTCAGTAACAAATAAGACAAGTTTCAAACATGTAACACAGCACTTACGAGATAAACACTTTGTCTGGAACTTCACTACACTATGCCAAGTTTTACGCGCTTTTCCCCTGAAGGTCATAAGCCAGTTCGTTGATAAACTCTTTGTAGATCAACGGATCCATGTTCTTTGCTGTAAAGTAAAGTACAACAAGTTAACAACGGCCTTAACACATCCATGAGTGCTGTGTTTATAGTAAAAAAAATAAAAGTATGTAAGTGTAGATTAATATACCTAAATACTTAACTTTTCATACAACCTTATCAAAAGTGCTTAATAAGATCGAGGAGAAAACTGACCTAACTGGTAGAGGAAGAACCAGTCACCAATCGCGCACTTGTCAGCAATATATTCTACAGTGTCTCCTGTAGAGAGGCGAGACCTGACCCTCAGCAGTATCCGCCTCACCGCCGGAACGAAGGTAATGCTGCGGTACACCAGCCCCACAGCTGAGAACACTGCCACGATGATGAACCTGACAACACACAATAACCAGACTCACCAAACATACACCACAAAATTGACTCTCCGGTTGGTTTATTTTGTTAGTTATTTTACAAGTTCAATTGAGGAGTAAATTATTTCAGCATATTTGTGTAAATAATGATAAAGATTTAAAAGCCATTATTAACAGATATATAAACGTAAAAAAAAATTATACGGGATACATTCATTTGTTGAGAATTTATCACTGTTACACTAAATAGGAATAATTGCCGATTAACGATAACTTCTCGTGGATTTCTTTTTTTTTTGAGTAGCCATGCACGATCATGTAGAATTGTAGATGATCAAAATCAAAATGCATGTTTTTGATACAGAACCTAACTTAACCTAATCTAAACTTCTCTAACCTACTTTTGGTATAAATTGGCTATCTTAGGATAGTAAACGACGTCTTAAATGAAACAGAGCAAATTATGTCAATTACGAATTAATTTTCATTAAGTTGTAGCAGTAAAAACAAAAACGCTATCCCTATACGGCAGAAACGTCAGTTGCTTTTCAAAGCTTAATCGGCGATTATCCTTGTTTAGCTTAACATCACCATTAATTTTTATTGTACAAGTACAAAACAAAAGAAAAAAGAAATCAACATAGTAAGTCAGCTTTAAATAGCTTCATACTCACCAGAACCAGAGGAAAATGAAGATCTTTTCGCTGACAACATTAAGAGGAAGCACACAGAGGCCATCGAATTTCTCGCGAGTGGCAGAAGCACCAAACTTAGTGAAGGTACACTTGGCCACCTTGGGGAACACCTCGTCCATGGGATCATGGCGCGACCCTAACTGCTGCTCACTGAAGTCAACTACGCGAGAACCATATGTCGTGAATTCATAGCCCAGGAACCTAGAATATTAAATATTTATGACTAACTATGATAATCGCAACATTAGTACCGCTCATTTTCTTCAATATTCAGATCTTTGAAAAGTAACGTGTGACTGAAATGTACTGTACTTCCATTCTTTCATTTTCAGGCAAAATTATTTTTATATGTGCAAGTTTTCGCTTCACAAGCATACACATACCTGTCAGTGAAGTAGATCTGGCCGATGATGTTGATAAAATTTAAAATTTCACAAAATATGAATTTAAACATGTACAGGTTCTGCTTGTTTAGGTTAATACGGAAGTAGCTGACCAACATTTTCTTGCGGGTCATCTTGGCGTCTTCGTCCAAGATTGGAGAATGGAGGTCTGTCACCAACATCTTCACTTTACCACCTTCCCACATCTTCCATAAGTACCGAGGAATGTAGAACATGAGGGCCTGAAACAAGTCATGGGGATATCTTCGAATTATTGAGATTTTAGATACGTAATAAGGTTTAGAAATACCTTCTTTTTTCACTTAAAATTATCTATTATACATCCATTCATACTAGTTTTAAACCTCTGCTGCATCATGTGTCACATTAGGCCTAACCGGACCCACAACAGTCCCTAACCAGCCCGCTAAAACAGGCCAGCTGTCCTCCTCGTCAGTCCCATTTTATATCGTCACCAGTCTTGTTTAGCTTTACTTCACACTAGACCTAGGCATCACAAGTCAGTTCACGTCAGATTCACCTCATTTATAAAGTAATCTCTGACCGAATCCCATATTCTCAGTGCCCATTCTCGCATCAAGTTAACCTAGCTAAGGGTATCAATTGTCACTCGTTTTTCAAACCTCGACAATACACTAAACAGTAAAATCATTTACGTCTCTCCCGGACACTTATTTATAATTGTGAAGAAGCCAGCCTTCACATATTAACTTAAGGACATAACAACTAACGAGCAACATTAACAGTCCACAAACATTAAAATATCAAATAAGTAATAAACGTTGGCAAAGACTTGTGTTGAGTGAATTGTAAAATCTCTCTCTCTCTCTCTCTCTCTCTCTCTCTTGCCTGTCAAAACAACTTCCTCTTTAGGTATAGTCATTAAATCCCATTCTAATCACCAAACGTTTTATTAGAGTTAACCTATTGACCTCCTATAAAGGATGTGGCGGCCTAAGGGTCGCTGGTCCGCTCCCAGACCACCTCTAGTTCACCCAACTGTGAATGGAAATCTAACTATGCAGTTAGGGAGGTGAAGATGATCGAGAGCATTGTCAGTCACACTCCCTCCTTGTGTACCAATGGAAAGCCTTAGTCTACTCTACAGTGTGCTCTGTTCGTAATTCCTTTAATGGTACCCACTTTCAATGACCTCCCATAAATCTTTTGCCGTAAATCCAACACAATCTATTTTTGTCACCTTTAAAAAAATAAATAAATGAGAATTGCAATGTATTACTCACCTGTAAGTATAAGAAGAGTGCAACCCACTGATAATACTTGTGATGCTTAACCTCAAGCTTCACTTTTTGGCCGGGGATTGCATCAGAAGCGACACCCGGGTGAGCCACATCCAAGCCCGTCACGCCCCCCGTCAAGGAAGGGATGGTGTGGGTGTAGTGGATCCAGCAGTACGTGTCCATGATATTTTGGTCTACACCCTCTACCAGACAGTCGATGGGGTCACCAAAGTACTGTCTCTGTGTTATCAATAAACTAAACGCCACCAATATGAACATCGTTGCCTTGTAGTGAAGCCTGAAAATATTATTGTCGATGTGAATGGAATCTATTTTCATAAGATTCTGAATACTGGAGAATACATCATGCATGGTGGCGGTTTGTGTTTAACTAAGACACTAGCACAAAATATTTGGAGTCAGCAGTCACCCTTCTCGGGCGGACGGCGGAATGATACTCCTGTTGTAGTGCGTGATGGTCACTGGGTTAAGTGCCTTCACTACACACAGGAAACGCTTCCCAGAACATTTCTGAATACAAAATTTGACTAGTTTTTAATTTAAAATATATGAGAAAAGCGTATATAAAGAAAATCAATGTGATAAATTATAACAAGCATTTTTCATTGTCTTTAAGATGACATTTCCGTAAAATTTTATTAATAGCACTGAACAATTATAGGTTTATCAACATATCTCGGGGATTTCACCCCCCCCCCCCCTTTCCCTCTCCACCGTCCGTACTCTTGTTTGGGAACTCCCGGTTCCAATAATGTATAAAGAATAATATACAACTGGGATCACATATTCTTTTACGCCATTTCCTCCTTCTATCTGCCAATTAAATCTGCCCACTTGTGTACAGTTCTCTCATGTTAAATACTAATTAGTAACACTGTTGTAAGTGATATTAAATGTGTTAAGAACTGTGATGGCGCATCATAACCATTGGGGATGCCATATCACCTCCAAGTGTGACCACCTACACATCTACGACGCCCTTATGAGCCAACTTATACAATACCTGATAGTTTTTTTTTTTACGGGGTTTAGCCCACCCGGGCACAGGTCACTGACCCACATCGGGGCCTGGGGGGCGAAAATGTAATAATGATAATGATAATCAAATAATAATAATAATAATAATAATAATAATAATAATAATAATAATAATAATTCACAGTAAATAAAATTTATAATAAAAAATATAAATTTTAAAATAAAATAATAAATTAATAATAATAATAATAATAATAATAATAATAATAATAATAATAATAATAATAATAATAAAGAAATTAAAAAAGATTAAAAAGTGAGAAACATTATATGTATGTTGTGTTGTCAGTAGTACGAGAAACAATTGAGACCCTACAATTGTGCGTAAATGAGGTAAAAAGGCAGATCAGCAACCTGGGATTTGGTCACAATTTTCGTGATTCCATACGGCAGCAGGATCTACCATTAGATAATACATTGTTTCCAATATCTTCCCAGGCGGTAGTACCTCCCTGTTTGGTAGCTGTCTGCTACTTACTGCCTATGCATTGTAAGAAGAATGGGCATACAGATGATTTTTGTTTACCAGCTCCAGCGTCGTGGTGCTAAATCTAAGAATAAATCAACTTCTCAAGGCAAGACCCATCTAAGACTTACGCAGCAGCTGCTCATCCCAGGTCTGATTCAGACCAGACAGCTGATATGTGGTGTGTTTACCATGAGTCTCCCGCCCATACTCCCACGATGAAAGGAGATAGGGATTGACGTATCACAGGTAACCAAACATCGTAAGCCGCGTCGTCGTCGTTTTCATAAGAAATCGGGGGAAGACCAACGCCAGGTTCAGGCCGACGTGGGCTAGGTACTCCTTTACCGATGTATGACAACACTTCGGTTGCATCTTCTTTAATAGCAGCACTGAACAAACCTAACGTGTTATCGGTTCGGGCGTGGGTTGGGTCAGTTAAGCTGGCCCTGGACATTAATACGGGTGCATGTGCGAATGTCATCTCGTTAACGTCCTATCAAGAACTTCAACGAAGATCCCCTCACCGAACATTTTTAATTCGACCTACGGACACTGACCTCTCAGGTGTGTCCGGTACGCAGTTGGATATAACAGGAAAGGTAACAGTGCCAACACGTTTTTCTAGACATGGTACGTACTTTTCTGCAGATTTTTATGTAGTCCAGGACTTTTATTTACCAGCTGACGGATTAATAGGTCTTCCAACTCTTCAATCCAACTTGATAGATGTTCACCCAAGCAAACATTCTATCACGGTTAATGGTGTTTCCTTCAGTGCCATGCGCAAGTCAGAACCATTGCTCTCTGCAAGGTGTGAATGTTTTGTCCACCGCTCTTACTACGAGGAAGATGGATCCTGAGTCAAGGAGTGTTCATGACACCACAAACTCACTTACCCAGCGTGATTAGAGTAGCAAAAGTTGGACGATTGTGCCTTCAGTTTTAACAGGAACTCTCCATTTTCGGAATGAAGAAATCACCAGAGCTACTGTTCGTTTACCTCGCGGGTACACGGGGACTAGCGTGATCTGTCTTACGGAAACGTGCAGAGTTAACAGACGATCATGTAAATCTACATTGAGTTCGACTCGTCCTGGTGTTTCAACTGATGTACTAGTTCTCAACAGAACAGTCGCTCTGAGAATATCCAATACTCCAACACAGGCCTCACCAGCGCCTTGTACAGGTGAACTTGTATCTTCTCAGGCATCAGTTTAAAACGTTTTAATTTGGCTGCGGAGACTTTGGCTTTATTTAGTCTGTCCTTCACGTGGGGAATGATGCCCGTCCGAGAGATGTTGAGGCCGAGCAACCTGCCTTGTTTAGAGTACGCAATCTCTTCGTCGTCGATCATCAATGGCACCGGTTTGAATTTGGCTATGGGTATGACCTCGAATTTCGTTTTGTTTGTTTTTATTTTCCATTTATGTTCATACTCCGAGATATCCTCTATTGCCCGAGCAGTGAGTCGCGCCATCCTTGCCGTGGACCTTCCTGGGCAGGTGACGATCTGTGTTACATCGTCGGCATACATGACGTACTCGTTGCCGACGATTGGGGGTGGCAGGTCAGCCGTGTAGAGTGTGTAAAGGGTTGGTGAGAGACAAGAACCCTGAGGCACGCCGCTCGATAGTGAGAATTCTTCTCCAAAATGTTCTTGCATCTTGATTTTGGCTCTGCGGTCCATAATGAAGATGCACAGCAGGCGCACCAGATTTTCGGGTAGCCCCAGTTGTATGATCTTATGCTGCAGCCCTGCGTGCCAAGCTTTGTCAAACGCCTTGCTGACGTCCCTCAGTACTATGTTGCACTGCAGGCGGCCAGTCATGGCATTGGCGATCTGCTCGTAGGCCTGAGCTATGGCGGTGGATGTGCCTCGGTACTGGCGGAAGCCGAACTGGCGGGGATTATGCACGTCTTCGTCCTCCAGATACATCCGCAATCGCTTGTTTATTATTTTTTCGAAGATTTTTGCATGTACCTCTAGCAGCGATATTGGTCGAAAGTTTTCGACTTTGTTTGGAGGCTTCCCTGGTTTTGGTATGAGGCGAATAACGGCAATTTTGAACATCTTAGGGAAGTATCCAGACGCGAGGCAGGCGTTACATATATGAGCAAGCCTCTCTATCATGTTGTCGGGGAGTTGAGCCAGGATCTTCTTGTTAATGTGACTTTGCCCAGGTGATTTGTTTTTAAACCCCTTTATGACGGCTGACACATCTGCAGGAACTATGCGCTCCGTCAGGTAGCTTCCGTCCACCAGTCTAGTGAGGTCAGTCCGTGGGAGCGGATGGAGCAGTTGCTGATGGTCCTGCAACTGACCTAAAATGTCCTCCTCAAACTCCATGTCGAAGCCCTTGTTCTCCTGTTCACTAATGGTAAAGATCTTCTGTAAATATCGCCGATGTAGTTGTTCTTGGTTTTCCTCCTCGAATATTTTCACATTGTTTTGGTCGAGCAGGCAAGGGACCGCGCTAGAGGTGGAACCCATCAGTCGCTTGATCCCTTTCCAGAAGGCTGCAGAATCGCGGTAATTGTTGGCTGCCTCCCACACCAAGGCGGCCCACTTTTGTTCATGTAGACGTTAGCTCTCGTGCTGGATGTCCATCTGTAGCTCTCGGTACCGGTCTCTCAGCTCTTGCGTCCACCCGCGGATACTGGCTAGCTGTCTCACGTGATCATACTGGACACTGAGCTGCCTCAGCTGGTGACTAGTGTGAGGATGGGGAATGGTCCTGTGAGTGGTGGTCGGGATGTTGTTGTCCATCTCCGTCTTCACATCCGTGTACCATTGTTCGACCGCGTCGTCGCTGTCATTGTGGCTGGCTTCTTCCAGGTTTCTCCCCTGCTTGAGACTGAGAGACTCCTTGAAGGAGTCCCAGTCTGCACGTTTGAGGTTTGACCTGATGTTGGCGGGGATCATAATGGGATTGGATGAGAGCGTCACGACGACTGGCAGGTGATCGCTGGTACTGATGGGTCCGGCGGTAACGTGCCTGTTCAGGACGGCCTCGTTGTTAGAGAGGATTATGTCGGGTGTTGTGGCACTGGCACGTCTGATCAATGTCGGGAAATCTGGCCCGAGGTGTTGTAATTTTCCCTTTCTGATGTTGTCATACAGCGCCACACCGACGTTGTTCTCATTACCGTGTCCGAGTATGGCGTAGCGCGCTTTTAAGTCCCCTATGATGTATGTTGGTTTTCTGTGGCGTAGCAACTGGTTGAGGTCTTGTTCGGGTAAGTAAGGACGTCTGGGAGGTAGGTACATTGTGCATATGATAACAGGCCCCCTAGTTGTCTCCACCTGCACTCCCAGAACTGAATCCTCGAAGTCTGGCAACACTCTGTGACTCAGCCGTGACCTGACGGTCACAGCGACACCATCGTTCAGCTCACCCGTCATGTTCCTCTGGTATACAGTGTAGCCAAAAATTTCCAGCATACTTTCGTCCTTTATGCCAGTACTGTTTAACAGAATGATGTCTGGGTCTAATTGATAGTATAAGTTAGACAGTTCGTTACGTCTATTAAGGGACCAGTGTGGGACATTATATTGGACAATTTTCATCCTGCTAACGACTGCCATTTCGGAGACTGTAGCTTTGGGCGTCGCTTGAAGTGTTTGTTCGGCTTCTGCCATTTCTAGGGGGACGGAACTTCTTAGCAGAACTTCTCGTCACCCGTGTACAGGAAGGTGTTCTGGTCCTGGGCCTACGTGTTGAAGTAATCAACTGACGCTGCAGCTCGAGGGTCTTGTTCCTCTGTAGAGTGAGTCGCCATCATCTGGTCACAACCATTGACTGTGGTTGCAGTCCGATGGTCACTGTCGTCGCTGGGAGTACATGTATTGGGGTCACGGACATTTATGGTGTCGTTGGAGCTGTGATCCCAGGGGTACTGACTGGCCACGTCGGGGCTACGATTATACTGACTTTTGCCTAAGTCAG